TAAAAACTCTTTCAAAATTTGTTTTATTAATTGTTTGGATCTATTTCTTTTTTTAATATTATTTCGAATAAATTTTAAAAATCTATTTACCTGCATAAGATTTTTTTTTGTCCTGTGTGGTTGTATATTTTTGTTCTTATTTTTGATTATTAGAATGGGATTTTTCTTTTGGTTCCAATTATACTTTTTGCAATTATTATTGATTCATATATATACTGCCCGTCAACAGTAAAGATTTTTAGGTCCTTAAAATGTTCTTTAGCTGACTCATCATGCTGCAGCTAGGCATGATTCTAACCGCTCTTTTTTGCTCCTTTAAAATGCTATCTAGATTAACTTACATTTTTTTAGCTGCAGAGTGCTATGACAAACGAGATATGTGAATTGAATGCACATGAGCAAAATATATATTCTTTAAAGTTTTCAAATCACAGTAAAAAGACATTCTTGATAAAGCATGAATCCCGGAATAAATTTTAATTAAAATTTTGTGGACATGTTTATCCCAATTCAAGTGCTGATCTAGTGTTAAACCCAAAAAATTGGTACTAATTTCCTCATCAATATTTTGTAAGTTGTAGCTCATTGTTATTGGCTCCTTCTGTTTATTTTGCATTATCTTAAAATTTATAAATTTAGTTTTTTGTAAATACATCAAGTTGTGGTTATTAAGATAATTTCCAATACTTTCCAATTCTAAGCGAACATTTCTGTTTGCTCAATTGATTTGGATGATATGACCAAATTTGAGTCATCAGCATACAGACATAATGTTGAATTTTGTTTATAAAGAATCTTTCATTCCACATAGATAAGCAGGGCCCTAATATTGAGCCTTGTGGCACTCCAAAAATTATTTGCATATGTTGAGCATGATTTAATGTCCTAGATAGAAGTGGTACGTAAAGAAAAACTTTGGAGATGAATCAGATATTGCTGTCTAATTATTCCTGACGTATGTAAGACATTTTTTTTTAAATTGTTCTAGGGTATCATTAACTTAACTTTATGAGGCTGTCTAATATGTTACAATAAGTTGTCTCTGTAACAGAGAAGCAGTTTGAGGAATGCGTGTGATGCGTGCTTCGCTAGAGGCTTCTCTATCAAAGTAAGGCTAGAGGGAGTCTCACACACTCACACTTTGATGAAACAAGAGACACAGGCAAAGGACTCTATCTGTTCTTCCTGGGTCACTGACTCCACATCCTGCAATACAAGTGACGTTTCCTAGTTTATTGTTGATTCCATTAAGCAAACAATGCTGCTGTGGAAAACCTTTGTTAATGAAACAAATAGTGTCAGATCATACTTGACTAGTTCTCTTGAAATTTTTTCATATTTTTTTTTAAATTTAAGCTATAAAAGTTAAAATTCCACCATTTTGAATTTTCAAATTGAACCAACTTAATTTTTGTCTCTATAATAGGCCTCTTTAACTTTAAAATACATGTTTCATAAAGATTGGTTGGAAAAATTCAAAAACGTGTTTATGTATAAAAAACTTAATGGCAGATATCTTGGTTCATTTCTAGACATACCATAAATATAAACTGTTTTCATTAGTTTTTTATTAGGAATCATAAACCCAAAGTACTGAAACTTTTTTTCCGGTCACCCTATATAAGTGAAGGAACATTATTCTTATTTTATAACTAGAACATGTATGATACCTGATGTAATAATTCATGCTATCCACAAAAATAATCAATTAAAATTACAAAGTCACTAAACAGATTGTTAACTAAAGTTGATTTTCTCCCAATTTAGATCACTTGACAACGGTACTATAAAATTAAGAAGTGATCAGTTACAAGTATTGTTCAAAGTTAATTGAATTACCATTTTAGTATCGTGTAATGAAATAGTGACAGAGAGCTACTTAACTAACAATAGACGTCAGACCTCAGCAGGGATGGTACGAGTGCGAGTGTCAGTGACATGAGGAGCTCTTGAATCTAACTGATGCCCGTTCTATATATCATCAAGATGTACTATGTTAGTCCCATGTTGTGGTTAATTACCACACAACATGTGTTGGGACGGAAATGTTAAGCTTTGTGTTTAAGGTTCTTAAGGTTAAAGGTGATTTAGGTCCCCTTGAACTCGAAAAAAGGGATTTTTGAAGTAATGCTTAAAAATGTGTGTGTGTTTGGGGGGGGGGGGGGGGGCAAGTGTACAGAGCAACAAACTACACCTGTTGTCCGAACGAAACTTGGTATGTGGATACTAATCCATGGTATCTTCAGGGTTTTTTCAATTTTGATTTTTAATGGTAATTTTCCTGAAAAACCTGGATTAAAATTTAACTTAATGTTATGGTCGTTTTAAAACAAAAGAAAATGGTACAGCGCCCAATGCTGTAGAAATTGCAAATATTATAAATTTTTGCGATTTTCCCCCATAAAATATCATATTTTCACCGCTTATCCATTATAAGGGTTTTTGACAAGCTAATGGGAGAAAGTATTAGTTTGCTGATACCGTGTGTAAGGGTTCCACTGGCTGGCTGGTAAACAAACAATGTACATAATGTAGAATGTATGATATGTTAAATATGTGGACCTTAAAATGTATTAAGAACTCAATTAATATTATAAACTATAATTTTTTTTAACAATGTGCATGATTTAAAACATTTTTACCTACTATGAGCAATTTAAGTAGTTGAGTCTTTAATTGTGCAACTTATTTAAAAGTTTTTTTGTTTGGATTATTTTACTAACTCAACAAATCCCCTAAATTTTAAGAAAAAGTTAAAAGTGAACTGTAGAGTTACAAAATAACTACCGGGTTTGAGCTGAGCGAGGAGGCAAATCAAATTTCAGAGCAATATGGAGATAAAGGACCGACAAACTCAAAATCCATTTGCTGGGTAGGGAGGGGGAAGGGGGGAATTTGTAATCAATGTTGTTGTCAAGTTATTCAAAGCTTTCCCTGTTTCATGGACGCATCTGCAAAGATGAATGGGACTTTATTGAATGACTCAATTTGTTTATCCTATTTTGGTAAAACCCTACAGAATATTCTGAAAAAAATGTCCACCCATAATACTTTAAAATTTATAGTTTTCCGGCAGTGTAAATTGTTTGAACAAGAGGAAATTAGGAGGAATTATTTGAAAAGAAAATTTTCTTGATCAAGAAGTTATTTAAAATTTTCTTGTTATCAGGTATTTTTTGTTTTTGGTACTCTAATAGTCAAATAACAGAAAAAATATGGAATATCAACTTAGTTGTCATTCCTTAAAATATAAAAGAACCTGAACTATTTAAAGTTGAGTAAGAAAATCGTAACTGTTAACATTACCTATCTATTAAAGATAATTATATATAGGTTTAGTTTATTTACGTAACCATTCACTGTAAACTTTATGGTACCGATACTTGTAAGGTTTATGTTGTATACAGTATATGGCTTCCCTACAAAACATAAATACACATACCGGTAGTCTAAGATTCTTTTTTTAAAATATTACGATTTTTAGTGTAGGTACTTTGAAAGTTAATTTGATGGTTTAAATATTCAATTCAAAATTTCTTCACTAATCCTCCAATATACATGGACTTCAACTTCAACAATAACTTTGAACTGTATTTAAGTCAATTTTCAACTTTTTAATTCCAAATTAATCATATAACTAAGTCTACAATGTTATATTTGGAGGGTAATTTTATATAGAAGTAATCAAATCTACTCACGAAGAACATCAAATTAGTGACTAGCATAACACAACCAGAACAGGTAAAACATGACATATGCATTTCAAACAGAGGATATTCATGCAAATGTAGGATACATATTCATGTGTTTAATGTGGCATGCACACGTTTTGCCAAAGAACTATGTGTGTTTGTCACATTTTGTCTCCATTATTGAGGTACCGTAATGGTTTTGGTAATGCATGTAGGTTAATTTTCAACATTAAAATATATATTTTTCTGTGTTGTTTTGTAAAATATTTATTGGTATGCTTATAAGATTTTCATTAATTATATGAAGCATAAACTAATTAAATAACTTGGACCTTAACCCTATCCTCCATCATAGCAGCCCATCCATTCCCTCCCTCATCCGAAACATAATAATGGTAGGTAGTTAAAAAAGTTTTATAGTACCGGTATGCACAATTTGTATTTATTTGGTAACTTTCTTGAAACACATAGTTTGCGACTTCTGTTCGTATGTTTGTAACTCAGGCAACAACAGCAAAGCTAACTTAAATATAAGTTCTGGAAATTGGGGTTACAAACTAAAAAAATTGCTTCAGCAAATCTGCAGACTAAGCGAATTTCCATTTGCCTGATTGGATTTAAAATGTCATCATTTTTTACTAACATGTCTCCTAAAAAAATATCACATTTATTCCCTATTTAAAAAGAATTAGTTTGACGAGTACTTAGAGGTTTGCTGCAAAAGCGAGGGTAAAAGTGTTTTTTTGTAAAATGTTAATAGTTTAGTAAGAAATAAATGCATTTTCCAAATTTTATCAAAGTATGTTCATAAACAAGCAAACTACAACAGTTTACTTATTCTCCATAAGAATAACATGGGAATTTTAAATTTACAATTTTTTTTGAATTTTCTCTGTAACCATTAGGTGCATAATAACGCTTCAATATACTAAATTATTTGTTTTTTGGGTCAAAAATGGGAAAAACCAAGTTTTACCCATAAAACCCCTCATAAACCCCTGTTTTCATAGTCCGATCATGGTGGTTCACAAAACTCGTTCGAATAAATGTAGGTTTACACGTGTATACCAAATTACATCAAAATCGGATCATTTTTGCTCAAGTTATCGTGCTAACGGACACAGATATATATATGAATTTGAACGGATGGTGTTTTTGCCCTCTAGGGACCTGAAAATGAAAAAGTAAATCGGTCTTGTCCAGGTCTTACCAAGAGCGTATTCCCTATATGGGAAATTCGCTATCAGGTACTAATCTATTTTTAAGAATGGAGTTTCAAGGAAAAGGAATCACGACAGTCAAACAACATTAAAATTAATATAAAATATATTAAATACATATTTACACAAATTTACAATATAGCCATACATATAAATACATGGGTATAGCGTTTCACATACTACAAAACATAATTTCTGAAAGCACCTTTTCTTGTAAGTATGGTTAACATTTGTACAAAATAAAACAATTTGGAGGAACTCCCGAAACTTATCAGAGATTTATCACAATACATGTCTTAACTAACACACTGGTTGTTATTTGTACATACACATCCATTCTTTAAAACAAAATTGTACAAGATAAATGGATGAAAAAATTAATAAGTTTGTTAAGAATTTTTTGTCTAAAATTTTGACTGATAGTACAAATTTTAGTGATTGTTAGTGTTTAGTTAGTCGGTTACAATTATATTTTTTATTTCTCATCTCAACCAACCACTTAATACATGGAACATTGTAAGGAGTATTAGGATGTACATTCATCTATTTATTGAATTGTATTTTGCTACATTCTCCTTGTCCAATAATGACATGCATTATGCATTTTCACTAAATAACATCCAGTGACTGAGAATTCTTATGTTTTGACTCTTTTGATTGTTTTCAAGCTAATTTATTGACTTAACTTTAACAAGAAACACTGTATTGTTTGTGTTTTGTTAGTCATGTGTCAAAAGTCTGCAAGTCCATCAGACATAAATAATTTATAGCAAAACTTATCTTAGAACCTTCACTTACTTAGATCACAAGAAGTGAAATTGAGAAAGAGAGTGATAGTACATCACTCAATCTATTTTTCCTGTTACAGATTTTGCAAGTTGTTTTTTTTCCTATCAAGGCATCAAAGACAATGACACATAATTTAAGGATGTTGGTATGAACAAGTTTACAAGTTGTATCACACTTCGACATTCTGACAAGCGGCAAATCAACATTGAGGCAGTCAAGCAGTTTACAAAATAATTTATTTATTTAATTTCACTAGACTAGCCGTCATATCTATTTACACATTTGATTGCTAGTTAGCTATGTTGGTCACTTGATCGCAAATACACATCTGAACACATCTAGTAATCATATAAAAATGTACAAAAGTCACTCACAATACAAAACTATCACAATACTTTGCTACAACTATGAATGACTGGGGAGACACGAATCCTCGTACTTCTCCTCTTGACTAAAACCTCTTCATTCATTTCAGAATATTTAGTCATGAATATCCAACTATGGCTAGTTTTCAAAACCAGAAAATTTCAATATTTGTTTGAGTGAGCAAAAAAAATCTTATGAACAATAATACTTAGTATGAGGCAATAAATGAACCGGTTGCCTCATTCTCACACTTGTTGACTATTCAAAGTAAATATAATCTATTGAAGGCTGAGAGTGGATATGCCAGTTTCTATTGTTCAAATACAGACATTTAGTTGTGCCTTAATCTTTCACTAAAGGAGAAGACTTTTTACAAGTTCTGCACTCAAATTTTCAGTCTAGATGTTGAGTGAAAAATACTTTACAGCTTGAACCAAATATCTTGCTCACCTAATGCGTAACATTAATTATCTTAGGATCAGCTGATGTCAAAGTAAACTTACGTAAAAAATACATTTCTCTCGGTCTAATCATAAAAGATTTAAGGGTTGACGTAAACAAGAGTTTAGTTTCACTTGGTATTGTCCATAAAAAATATACAATCAAAACAAATACTTTGAGGATGACTACACACTTATTTAGACAGTGTTTAAAAATATAGGTTACGTTTGTAACATTCGCTTTAACACCTTAATATATAATGCTGGTACTGCAGTGAATGTGATGTCAACAGTAACACATATTGTTGACAGGTTCAAACGGTGTTCAACAGTAAGTGTGGTGTTCAGTGGAGACTAGACAGCCGAGGCCAACGCGTGTCAATGCCACTTGGACTTCTGTGCGAAGATGTCAGCTCGTAGATTCTGCGAGAAGCAGATGCCGATTATCTGTAATAGTGATATGGTGAGTAATAAAACTTTTTTTTATCAAACAAAATGCACACTTTCGTTTAGCTTTGTGGGCAACTAAGCAATGTGAAAAAAACAATCAGGGTGCAAGAATACTTGAAAAATGTAGATATAATTTAGCCATTTTAACATTTTGGTAAAATAATTGCCGTACTTTTGAGTTGGTTTGAAGTTTGAATAGAGCCAGCCTTACAGTAGGTATGTGCAAAGGGACCTACAGGGCCCTGCGCTTTGGGCAAAAACATTAAAACAACAGACTTGGCAAATTTTGTTTTTGAAAAGGCCCCAATAACCGTTGCTTGTTCTATTTTTGTAGCAAGTTAAAAATCACAATTGCTGAATATGATCAAGATGTTGCCCTCACAAAAGTCGCTGCAATTGTATAAATCCCAACAATTTTTACCAAGATCATTAGAGAAGATTATGGATATTGCCGTGATCGCAGAAATGCATCCTACGAGCATGAGCAACAATATGGCGATTGGTAGGAAGAACTATTTAGCAGTAAAACGCCCGCTCTGAGTGTTTGCACAGGGCCCCGCACTACTTAAGGCAGACTCAGGGTTTAGTATAAAAATAGAGAGCTAGCTTAGCTGCTATCTAAAAGTAGGTAAATTTACCCTGAAAAAATTGAAGAAGATTTTTTAGTTCAATTGCTGATATTGGCTATAGCATGTGATGTGAACAGAGGTCAATTGCTTTGACATGAGCTGTCAGTGCCAATTGTTGCCTGTGTATTAGCTTGACAGCCTTTATGACGGCTTCTTCCCAACACCTTAGAATTATTTTTGTTTCAAATTTGCTCTGTAGATATCAGCAATTAGTACACTTTCTACAAAACATTTATTTGGCCAGTTCTGCTGGTTTTCCAATGGTTTCTGAGCAGCAAGAACTGATGTAGAATTTATCAAAAGACTGTGAACACACAGTTGGCCCCCTGATTAAGTCATCATGAAAATAGTCTTTCCGGCTGCTAAGAGTTAGTAATTTAATTTAATACCACATGCTGTGATACATCTTCAAATGATTAAGCACTGTTATCTTTTTGATGGTTAGAAACTTAAAATAGCTACCCTGATCATTTGGGCATTCAATAAATAAACTTGGGTAAAAAACCCAACAGATATTTTATTCTTAGTAAAAAGGCTATCATATGATATAACACTGGTTTAGTTTCAATTTTTTCCTTAAAATATGCACACTGGTATGCCATCATTCAACTGTCATATAATACAAATACAATACAGTACAAGGATATAAAACAATAACGTGCAAACCAAAACATGTGACATACCTGCAGGAATGTAACTACAAGTCCCATGGTACATATATGGAGAAGATTCCGTTCTATCCACTCCTCTCCTGCTTGCACACATCCCTTCTCATTTATGATCTTGGATGCATCAAAGTTCTGGCAACAAATGTGAAACTCACCTGTTAACTTGAACGGAGAATGGTATTCCACCACCCTTGTGACACTTGATCAACCAAAGCATGCACACAACACCCCATGCACACACCGTGCCACATGCACACATGCTGTGTTAGTAAAACTAAGTTAGAAAGAAAGTCAAGAAATGCCACCCTTGTCTTCAAGAATCTTTCTTCATAATATGCTGTACACTTCAAGGTGTGATAAAATCATATTTTCTGATTTGTTATAAAGTACCCATTAGTTGACATTATTAATTACAGCATTGGGTTTAATCAAAACAAATTTAACAATGCTCGACCAAATGCACAACCCAAATAAAAAGTTAATTTAATACAGCTACAGTAATAATTTATGAAAATGACAAGACCATGAATTTAGAGCTAGGAGGAAAGCCTTTTTTTACTATTTGTAAATAGATTTAATAAGTAACAACTATACAGAAGCACATGACTCAATCTGTTATCATATCAAGTAAATGTGAAAACTTCTAGGGGAAGAATTGCAAATTTAAAGACTAAATCCCATTTTTAAAAGCAAAAGGTGTCATTTGGTACAAGCTAGAGACCATGCCATGTTCATGTACACAAGAAAATGCTGTTTTGCAGTAAAAAGTAAATACATAATTTCAATAGACTCTCAATAATCTAACTCATAGGGCCAACCTTTTTTTATATTCACAATATACTAGAGCTAAACAGTACAATGGATTAAAATTATTTCGAAATCAAAGGACATCTGAGTCATCTCATGCAGTATATATCCGTTGATTTAGGAAATCAGGTTCAACGACATATTCATATTATGTCATGAATGTCTACTAGGCCCAGCACAATTTTCTAAGACTGATGTGTGTTTTGTAATCATGATGTTCACAATTTCAAAGCAATTTCCAAAATTTCTATGAATGAAATGTGCTTTATACGTATACCTGACAATCATACTGCCCCACAGGTTTGGTTAGTCTATAGTACTTGTTAAACTACTGAGAGCCTATTGCACTGCTGCACCGCCAGGTTAGCAAGACATGTTAGTACCTGAAGCACTACACTTGTGACCATAACCACTAGGAGAGGAATGAGGTTATGCTCCACCCACTCCTCCCCCGCCCGCCAACACCCCCGCTCAAATATGTTGTGTTCCCCGCTCTGTGCGGGGGACAGGTTCGTCCACCCGTCTGCAAACTGCCAAAACAGTACAGCGTTAATCATTCAACTTACATAGGTACTCGTGCTAGTTCCAAAATGCATCTAATTTTCTGCCTATGAACTAAAGCTTCAACGTGGGTTTCTTAGATGATGCGATACTTTGAGTAAAAGAATTTCTCATACAAACTTTGGCATTGTCAAATGTGATTAATACATGCAAAAATTTGCGTCAAATTTGATGTCAAATCAACAGAAACATTAAAAGAAACCAATTATTGCATTTTTTATTTTTTTGTAATATTAAATAAATTACTCATTGCTATTAGATTCCCTTATGTAAGTTCAGTCTGTGGCAGTAAATAGACCAGCTGTTGCACCAATGAACAGTTCAAATCTAACACCACCAAAAAATCCAATTGTTTTTGTTTTAGGGCTAGACCATAGACAAATAGAATAAATATAGACTGTCAAAGGAAGGTTCCGGCGCCCACCGCTAGGTTTGTTGTGTAGTTACGGCACACAACGCTGCAGGCGAGGAGCGCAGGAGCCGTATGTGACCAGCAGACGCTGCAGCGGTGTGACCTATCGGTGGATGCCAGAACTTATGCTAACCGCAGCACAGCTGACGGTCTATATTTATTCTATTTGTCTATGGCTAGACTCAAACCCCAGGCCTAAGGTTACTTGTCCACAAGAATAGCAAGGATGAAGGATGCAATGGTAGGTCCTTGTGCTATGTTACATCCCTTCTCCTAACTAAATTGAACATTTCAAGGATTCAATGTAAATCCAATGTAACAATTATATACAAATAATTAACACAGAAGTCTTATACTTACATATCCAGGTTTGCGGACATCATATCCACATTGTTTGTTTTTTATAACTTCCTAAAAAAGATGAAAACAATTATTTACAGCTAAGCAGTACATTGAAAGTGAACTTAGATCACCCTCTGAAGCTTCTACGAAGGGTTGTTATACTTTGGTGATTTTACACCCTTACTTAACAGAAGGTGAGAGGCCTTCCCACCAACAATGACTCAGAGGTGTAACCTCAGTCTATTTCAATGTTTCAATCAATACGGTTACATAGAAAATATCTCCTTATACACTGTACTATGTAGTAAACCATATAACACGACTACCGGTACTAACACTTAGAAGAGGGGGAAACAATTTAATAGTGTCAAAGCAAACGAAGAGATCAACCAAATTTTCAATCAGGTCTATAGTATTTACATTTTTCGAACTGGCGCCAGTTGGAAAAAAGTCTAGAGAATGATATTGGTACAATTAAACTACATTTAACAGTTTAATCCAGTACTTTGAAGTGCAGACATTAGTTTTGTTTGAAACACAAAAATACAGATGATGACATCTTTCCATTCAAAATACAGTAAAAGCAGTAAAAGTTACAAACATTACAGTATTTACACCAACACAAGTAATATTTTGATCAGAGCATTTTTCGAAAGCCATCTTTTTAAATGTCAATTTATTTGCTTGATCAAACTATGTTCGAAAAGTCCAATAAACTATCCCTTATGTTGCCGAACATATTTCCTTGTTTAAGTAAAATATAAAGTAAATAAATATTTAAATTATGTACTCTTATAATACTACATTATTTTTTCAATTAAAATATTTACAACTTACATTGGGTTTTCTTTTGCAACAAGAGAACGGAACTCCGCAAGCTTCTCTGCTACCAACGTCCCTCGAGGAACAATTGAAGTAGTTGTTTCTGTCCCAGTCTTTGGGCCCCTCGATACCGCAACACTGCAACTGTTCAACAAACCAAACTTGGAGGGTTAAAGTTCAACAAGAGGTGAAATCTGAACTAAAGTTCGGCCGCTTAGAAAACGACCTGCGCGCTAATGCTAAACCTATGCTGGAGGAGGTCGCTTTCTAAGCGGCCGAACTATAGTTTGAACTCTATGAATACAATCATTGTTTTAAAGTTATTGATAGTAATTAGATAGTAGATGTCCACAACTTTTGCAATCAATTCGGGTAATTTTTATGTTAGCAAGCAACATTATACAAATAGTTTTTAAGCGATCTTAATAAAATTATTCATGTCTTAAAAGCATGAAAAATTTAAATAAAAAAAATTATATAAAGGGTCGTAATTAAAAGGGTTTTAAATTTGACAGTGTGTAAATGATGGGTGAAAGTGAAATTTCAGTGGGAAGAGCGAGGTTTAAGTTTGGGCTTTCTTTAACTTAGCAAAGAGGTATAAATTTGATTGTTGAAAGTGTGAAAACCAAAATGCAGTGAGGCCAATATCTAAAGTTAACAAACTCAAAAATACCCTGACTTAATGTGTTTTCCAAATTTAATAGTTTTTCTTTGTTAAAAACTTGACGTGTAACAAATCAATCAATCTATTCATATGGTTTTTACCTTAAAAATGCAATTTTGGAAAAGTATATATATGTTCTCAAAATCCTGAGAAATGGAAACAAAAGAGTTTTTATATACCTTATTTGTGATTTGAAAATCAATACCTGTCATAAGTTTTTTCAAAGCTTTGATAAATTATACAGAAAGTACTGTTCTCAAAGGTTTGCTTGCTTTTTTTACAAATTTTGCTCTATTAATTACTTATCTTACAATTTCACCAGTCACTGCAGAACAGTTAAACAATTTCATCTGAACAATTTAACTTTTATACACTATTTGACTTCATCTCAATACCGGTATCTAATAAGTTTTAAGGAAATATTTTGTTTGTGACTTAAATTAATATAAACTAGAGGACCCATGCTGCTCCGCAGCGTTGAAATAAATATCATATCCAAGAAATAATCAAAGTTATCATTTTTGATTGAGTGTAGTAATAATAATAATAATCTTGAACTTGTGTTCTTTATAAAAAATGTGTAAACTGATTAATTGGAAGCCCCCAAAATGAATAGATTATAAGGTAGAGGACCCATGCTGCTCCGCAGCTCGAAATAAATATTATATCCGAGAAATAATCAAATTTATGATTTTTGATTGAGTAATACAGTATCTTGAACTTAACTGATTCAAATCGATTAATATCTCAAATTAAAGCCTATAATTTACTGATTATTTGGAGTCTAAAACATATTATGAAAAAAAACATAAACAATGCTGGAGCTATTGATTTTTAATCATAGAAAAACCTTTTATGTTGGTTGTCCACCTTGCGTTTGCTTGAAACTTGTCGGATTTGTGGCTTAAATGATAGCCGGCACTTCACTGAAGGTTCTTAGACCAAAATATGTACGATTATATAATTATAACTGGTGAAAATACATCTTTAATAGTTGTAAGAATTAAAAAAAAAAAATTTATATTTTGATGAAGTAATACAGTAGATAAATATGAATATAAATGAAATCTATCGTGCATACTATCAATTCGAGACCTCAATAATGAAAATCGGTCGGGTAGAAGAGCCAAACAAACTCCGAAAAGAAAAAAAAGCAAATTTAACTCCCTTAAGAAATACATGGGGAGCAAATTTTGTTTACGTATAAGCCTCAATAATGAAAATCTGCCAGGTAGAAGCGCCAAACGAACTTGGAAAAGAAATACCAAATTTAACTCCCATAAGAAATACATGGGGAGAAAATTTTTTTTACGTATAAGCCGAGTGGGACTGTAGACAAATATATGCTGATGGTTGATGTGAAAATCTGTGTGTGCATACCTTCAATTTGAGATCTCAATCATGAAAATCGGTAGAAGAACTAAATGAACTCGTAAAAGAAAATTCCAAATTTAACTCCTATAACATAGGGAGCAAATTTTGTTTACGTATAAGCAGAATGGGACTGAAGTACTGAGGATGAAATTAAATGTTTGTGTTGTTACGTGGTAGTTATCAAAAGACTATTACAGTACTATAAGTGTTCATCATACCCAGTCTTCTTGTATCCAGTCTATCAGGTTCTGCTGGTCAGGATCTTCCCTGTAGTGAATGATGAAGGCCTGGAATCCGGACGTTGCTTGTAGTTTGATCTGTAACCAAAAGATCAATAGGTATATTAAATGACGTTTCATTTGTAAATAGAAAATATTGACAGATAATAAATTAACATATCAGCAAACTGACATTTACTTTCCCCCATTAGCTTCTGTACAAACCTTGTAATGGGTAAGTGGTGCTAGTAACTGTTATTTCATGGGTAAAATAAAATAAAAACTTTAATAACCTTTTAACCTTAGGTGTGCGACCGGCCTTTACAGCATTTAGGGGTTGTATGGTTTTGTTTGGAGGTAAAAGGACCATAACATACGAAGTTAATCAAAATCGTTTGAGTTGTTTTTGTAAAAATCCTAATTTTCTGCTTTGCGGCTACTTTTGTGATATAATATTTACCAAAGATTGATGAAGTTTAAGTTAGAAATTACAATAAGCAAAGTAATAAAAATATGAGAAGTGGTATTTTACAAACATTTCTTATAATACCAAACTGAGGGAGTGAAAAAAATAATTAAAAATAATCTTAGCCAAACCACAAATTAATTGAACACTTAAAATTCACTTAGATTTCATGACCTCACAGCTCCCACTACTGATTTCCCTCATCTTTTTCTCAATTGTTTCTCAGTCGACAAATCTGTGCTGCAATTGATAATTGTGTTGACCTTCACCATAGACCTGCGGTTTTACCTTGGTGTCAGCAATTACATGGTACTGACTAGAGAGTCATGATTCACGAGTAATCAAAACTCAGGGAACTACGGATCTTAGAACGGGTTCATTCCTGTTCCTTCTTTCTCCAAAGTGATAGCACTTGTACAAATAGGCTATTTAAAATATTTTTTAGTGTAAAAACATTGAACTTGAATCAAAGGTGGACGTTCTAGGTCTTTTTTTGGAACTGAAAAGTAATTTATGCAACAATCGCATAAAGATAGTGTTACCAACACGAGTAGAAAGTTAAGGTACGAGCCTTGGTGAGTGCCTTAAAAACTTCTACAAGTGTCGTTAACATTATTTACGCGAGTTGCGTGGTACACTACTTTACCGGTTTTTAATTACTAATAATCACTAGGCCTACTCAAAACTTCTAAGAGAGGTTATGTTTTTATTTATAACCTCACATTGCCACTGACCATTGATGCAATGACTCATTGTATCTATCACCAATTGCACCAAGACATAACAATTAAATTGGTAAACAGCTGATTAGTTGAAGTTCGAAGCATTACAATTTTACTCTCTCCCTTGAACCTCATTGGTCCATTACCTGTGTTGTTAAGTAAAAAAAAAAAAAAAAAAAAAAAAAAAAAAAAAAAAAAAAAAAAAACTATGCAGTTATAAAGTAAACAATGCTGTTATGTGAAACTTTTCAATTTTAAGAACTGAACTGAAACAGCTACTTTTAAAAACAGTTTAGGTAAAATTGTTTTTGCATTTGTACTCTTGAATTTTACTCATAATTTAACAAGACGTGAATTTATTTGAACATAAACTTCATCTACACCACATCTTCAAATTGAACATTTAATACAGAATACATTGTTTGTAGGCTTTCAAGTGTATAAGAGAAACAGAGCCACAAGGAAACTAAGAACAAAATAATAACAAATAAGGGAGCATAAAAAGGCTTTGTTCTGACATAAAACCAATTTCCTCACATCAAAGGCAGAATAAAGTAAATATGAAAAGCAATTGTATCAAAGGGAAGGTTATTTAAAAGAACTTCCCTTGTGTTTTTTTAATAAATCGTACATTTCATATCTTTATAATGCAAATCTTGGTACAGTATAGTATTCTTGAACCAAACTCAACCAGTACTTAACTTTATCAACAATTAAAAATATCCAAACAAGTCAATAGGTTAATTTTCTTACTATACCCTTACCCTAAAATATAGTATTAACTAAGTAACATTTTTATGTGGAAACATTGCAACTTTTGAGATTGAAAACAAACCGGTTGGCTATTTTTGTTTGACAAAATAACAATTTAAATCTACACTATATTATTTATTATATAGCCGAGTAATCAGAAGGCCACTGGTTTGATCCTAAGAAAAGCAAGGAGATTGACCATGGTTCAACACTATATAAGCTGCAGTTTATCAAATGGTTTGGCTATTTAGTCAGCTTATATTAGTTAGCAAGAAAGCTCATACTCCAATCAACAATAATCAAATGGCATATAATTACTAAATTTTTAAAAACAATACTCACCCAATCTCTAAATATGAATAGCATGAACACTGCAGTTATTTCTAGGAGCAAAATCACAGCAAGGAAAAAGGCATACTGAAAAAAAATCATTACCATTAGTGAAGATTTTTTTTTAGAAAGACAAATAATACTTTGTTCAATTCCTAGCATTGCATTATGGTTCTAATTCACTATACAGATTCTAATTCAATTTCATGTAGTATGGTTAAGTATTTTTTTAAACAAATTAATTAGTGTTACAACAAAATAACATGGCGGGATTAATTTGATACATACATTTCATTAGTCCAATCTGTGTCCAATCTAATTTCCTATGCATTAACCACATCATTAAGATAATAACATGAGTTCTGATTAGTAACATTTACATTGGTGCAAAACAAGTCCTAACCTAATTGGTTTCAGAATTAGCTATACAATTTGATTTTTTCCAATTGCACAATTTGATTTTTTCCAACTGCACTGTTTGGTTTTTGTGCAGTACAGTAAGTCAGTGTATATATTCATTGAATAGTCTTAGTGGAGTAAACGCCCACACTGAACTGTTTTAACACGGTTAGTAAGTTTTCCTTCAATTTGAATACAAATATTTAAAATGTAAACAAAATCTTCAAGCCTTATACTAGAAATTAAGTTTGGTGATACAATGATGAATTTTACAACTATGTTTTATGAGAAACACTCACTGCGGCCAGGAGACAAGTATTCTCTCTGAGAGCTCCAACACAACCGGTGAACCCGATTATGAAAGTCACAGCCCCTAAAAAAAATATTGAACTTTACTGCAAAATTCATTAGTTCGAACAACTGTCATATTTGTCAATACTGTTCAATGAAACTCCAAAATCTTTGAAGATCAATTTCTAATTTCCATGAAAATAGATGGCATTATTTAATATGTTTAATAGTGATTGTTCCAATTTTGTAGTTTATTGTTTCAGTCTCCCATTTTTTGTAAGTAAATTAAATCATTTTCAAGTTTAAAGCTTCCCACTAATTTATCCCCCCCCCTACTGTAGAGTGTAACAAAAATAACCATCGTGTAGATATTAAGTCAATGGTTTTAGCTATCAATCTCTTTATCTGTCAAACTTTGCAATCCCCTAATCCCAAAAAATGTGTTGCCAGTTTTGTTTATGGTATAAATTCACTATGCTCATATTCAACCTCACACATTTTGCCAATAACAAATTTAAAAAGAAAACTGTGGTTTCGATCTTTCTTTTACAATACATCCACCAAACTATTAACATGTAACATGTATTTTAAATAATGTAGGGACGAGGATTTAGCTTCATACCCTGGTTGTACTTAGACAAAGATTTAGCTTCATACCCTGGTTTGCGAGAGAATAAATTCCAGCTTTAAAAGTTGAAAGAAGGTCACCAAGTAGAGAAATAATTTACAACTGAGAGTTTTAATAGAGGAAGTAACTGTAGTTAAACATGCAACTCGCTGGTTTAGTCCTATACCAGCATCAGATAACTGACAATAAATGGCTATGGTGAAACACAATATACAACTAGAGCATATTGTCATTATATTAAGAGCAAAAATCAATTCAACATTTTTATTCATTACTAGTTTCTACGAACAGCACAAAATCATATTCAAACATGTAGAATAACTATACTTTTAATAAATTTAAAATACATAATATCATAACAATCGTTGGCTTTATGGATATCCTACAGTAGGCTATTTTATAAAATAAACCATTGTTTTTCTGATCAGTAAGTAAACATATGAACCAGCTGTAGCCAATGTTCTATGTTCTACATCACAAGAACATAGTTTAATTGATGAACCCCCACAGAAGGTGCTATTGTATAAAATTTTTGTCTATGATTAAATACAGGTTGGTCCAAAAAGAACTGACACATTTTAAAATACATTTTTATTTACAAAATTTCAACTGCATGGTATCATTTACATACGTACAGATAGAAAAACTCAAAAAAAGTTTTTGGTGGCATTCAATAAATCTCAATATGGCCCCCATTAAGACTCTGATGGCGCCAAATCGAAATTCAACCTCCCACCAAACATTAACATTAAGTAAAGGTGTGTGATGTTTTAAATTTTGATTTAACGCCGGCAGAGCATTAAACAGTGGCCATATTGAGATTTATTGAATATCACCAAAAGCCTTTTGAGCTGTTCAATGGTACATAAATGTAATTGTTACTATTTAGTTAACATTTTGTGAATAAAAATTAATGTTAAAATGTGTCAGTTCTATTTGGACCACTCTGTTTTGTTCACTTTATATTTTCACCCTAAGTTTTCAATACTATGACATCTTAGTTTATGTGATATAGAGGATACTTTAGTCACAAGTAGGTTTATTTAAGCATTTAATAAGTTATAGCAAATTTGAGAGAAACAAACTATTTACACCTGTCTAAAATTTTGGTCGTTCAATTTTTTTTTTTAAACAATGGTTTATGGAACTATGGTTAATTGCTATGGAATGTATAGTTGCTAACAGGGGTCGCCGGAATTTTATCCCCCTGGAATTTTACCCCCTGGGCAAAGCTGACGTCACTATGACGTAGTAATCTGAGTGGCCAAAAGTTTGTTCGCGGCTGGAATTTTACCCCCGCGGATTTCGAAGTCTAATGAAAATAGTCAGAGCGTGATTAATTCAATTAGCGATAAAAACTGGAATTTTACCCCCTGTCCATATAACTAGTGTTTAGACAACTGAAAAGTACGGGCCGGATTTTTACCCCCCGGAATTTTACCCCCGGAATTTTACCCCCGGATTTTTACCCCCCGGAATTTTACCCCCTGGCCGATTTTAGAAATTGAATGATTGGATTTCTTATTTCTGTTTTTAATTAATTGTAAACATTTCATTATTTAGTGGCCTATCTTTATTTATTTATTTTGTAATCTCAACTAAGTCAAACGAATTCGCTGTTTAATTTTGATGTTTGGGTATTTGCCTTTGAGGCAAACTGTTGGTTAATAAGTATGTAAATAAGTAATAGGCCATGTTAATAAGTATGAAAAACAATGTGTTTAGTTTCAGTTGTACAACAACCTTCTTGTTTCTTCAGGCACAAACCATGGACTGTTGATGAGATTCCTTGCAGTAGTCAACACAATTGGTCGAATACATTGTAGGCATACCGGATGCCTACAACTACATTTCACAACACGTATTTTGATGACCTTTCTCAGTACAAGCTCATGGTTTGTGCCTCAAGAAACAATAAGGCATATTTTGTTATTGTTAAAATAAACACGAAAAACAATGTTTTACCATGGTTGTATAATAAATCGTTAAAGAAATATTCGAAACAATTATCATTCAGTTGATTGTATATACGTCATATTAACCAAAAGTTGGCTTCAAAGATCGAATCCTAATACTTGAATCTCAAAATTAAAATTAAAAACATGTTCGATTAGTTAATGTCACAAATAAATTAAGATAGGCTACTAATAATAAAATGTTTACTATTAAATTAAAACAGAATAAAGATAATTAATCATTCTCAATAATTTTTATATCTAGCCAGGGGGTAAAATTCCGGGGGTAAAATTCCGGGGGGTAAAAATCCGGGCCGTACACTCTAGGTTTTTATAATTTGATGTGTTCTGATTAAATTCACAACCGTGAAAATATATGTTTAATTCCGCGTTTAATCCATCGAGCTGATGTCGCGAAACTCAAAAGTTCGTGGCCGGAATTTTACCCCCTGGTTTGTGACGTCACGTTTGCCCAGGGGGTAAAATTCCAGGGGGATAAAAATCCGCTACCCCGCTAACAGTGGCGGTCCCAGGGGGGAGGGCGAGGGGAGGACATTCCCCCCCCCCCGAAATATTTTATATTTTATTAGCTAACATAAAATTTATTAGCTTGAGCATATTATAGAGCTCAAATACATATAAAAATACGTTTTTAGGCTTTAAATTTCACATTTTTTTCTAGGGGAGGGCCCGGACCCCCCTTTTTCTGAGCGATATTAATTACCCCCCAGACCCACCGGTGTTCACCCCTCTAAAACAAAATCCCGGGACCGCCACTGGCTGCTAATTCTATCCTTAGTCAATGGTTTAACCTACCAGTGATGATAAGTACGAATGCAGGATCAAGTGCAATGTTGGCTAGCCTGCTAAGGTTGTTGAAGGTATCTTTCTCTGACCAGGCCCACACTCCGATAGACAGGATACCCAGGCCTACCAACTGTAAAGAAAGAAATACCAATGTTAACAATCAAATGGCATTACGAATTGTGGTTTGTAAACATAATAAATTTACAATAACAAATTTACATAAACATAACAAAGGATAAAGAGAGTTTTTTTTATTATTGAAAGTAAATTTTACAGTCACACCTTTTACAAACAATGTCTAGTTAGCTGAAAGTTTTATATTTATTTTTTCTTTAACGAGTATGAATGGTTGACTGTATCCAATATTGTAACATACTGTACCTATAAAATTATTGGCCCATTTCTATTGACGATGATATACTTTTTTATTTTTAGAATATCTCGCTTCAGTATATTAGAAAAGGGATTTTTTCTGGACATTCATATTGAAAAGACATTTTAGGGATATACAAAACATACCAACAACAATAAAGTAAAAACCAGTCTCTGTTTTGTTCTGTCTCCAAAACACAAAACAGAAACAAACTCATTTCCTCAGTGGCTAGGATTGTTACCCATCTCGCTAGTTATTTGTTCTTTGGAAAATTCTTTGTTATTGAAAAACAGATATCCTGGAATTATGTTTCTGTAACTGGACTTCTTTTTAAATATTTTTTTATATTTGTGATATTTTCTATCATTGCGCAATAAATACAACCGTAATTTACAAATAACAATAATAAACATTTTATATACAATAATCCTATACTCTTCTATGAGCAATTTTTGCTTGTATATATGCTTGCACTAAGTTCTCGAAAACGGCTTCATGATTTCCTTCAAATAATAATTTATATTTGGCCTAAACACTTGTTTACTGCAGTTAAAAATGCCAACAAAAATCTAATTACATAACAAATTAAATTGAAAGTCAACATTTTTAACAATGGCTTTATGGGCTGCCAAGTAAACAAGTTGGTTGAAAAAATAACAAGGAAATAGTTAACAAAAGACTTAACATGTGTTTATAACAAGCCATCCACAGTATACTAGCAATTACCGAATACAGTACAAAGGGAAAACCGTTGTTACTATTGAGCAAAGATTACACTGAAGATATCTCGATATAGGGGTACAATGGAAATCAACTATACAGAACCATGGCTGCGTCTCCAGATACTAAACAATTAGGTAAATTGAAAGTTTTTTAACAAGGATATTAAAAAATCACTTTTTATGCAAAAATTTGATAAATGTAATACAACTGATGTATTCCAGTTGGGGAAATAGTGTGAAAGAGGGAAAATAATAACAAATAATTTTTAATTTACATTTTACAATGGTATCTATAAGTTAAGACCAATACAATTGTCTGGTAATCAAGCAGAAATCGTTCTTAGATACCGCAGATTAAAAATACTTATTGTAGATTTGTCAGACTCAGGGACTATTATTCATGTGTGTAACTATAACCACACATAAATGGTGAGTGTGTTCTGATGTTGCCATTCATATATTCCTAATTTTTAACCAGATCTTTAAAACTATTTTACCAAATAAGGAAACGTTTGTAAACAACTCATTGGTTTTACGATTATTTAACCTAAAACAAGAGAGGAATGTTCAGTAACATCAACTGCACAACATGACTAGGCATTGATATATACATAAAAAAATGCCATACTTAACAAGAGGATGAGCATACCAAAGACGCAAGCCAATAATATTACAAAAACGAATTTTTTATAGTTTGTCTTTAGGATTTAACTTTTGTTTCAATGGCACTACTGAGAGATGGCAAACAGGGTCACAATAAAATAGACCTTTGTGACAGTGGATTGGACAGGGCTGTAGCGTCCCAGGGGCATCACATTCACACACGCAGCTCTTGTATACACACACACACACACACACACAAACACGTTTAGTCACACTGGATTCATCGGTTTTTACCGACCTTGCTTCACGAATACAAACACTGAAGGGATCCATAAGTGTACTATATTAGAAATTAGCAAAAAGCGAACTGAGGGAAAACTGACTGAGGAAAATGGCTTAGTAAACGTCAGCAGTACTAAGAACTGGAGAAGGAAATAACGCAGTTAAACTAACTTGAATCATTTAATAAATTACTCTTCTCAGAAACAGTCAAGTTAATCATGTAAAATTGTATTATGATCATGTGGAAATACGTGTGTATTCAGATTGAGAAAAGATTGATTCAATCAAATTTCTGAATAATTATGTATGTTATCCTCTCTAAATAGAGAAGGATTTTAGAAACGTTTACCTCTAAGCTGAATTGAAGTGAAGTGGGCTTAGGTTATGTTTATCGGCTACACATTCAACATAAACATGGATTTACCGAGAAGGGAAATACAGTAGTTAAAATATTGAATCAATTTAACTAGGGTGGTCTGCCGTTACACTTTAGACGCATAAATGAGCGAAGCATTATTTAAAGATTGTCAATGGCTAAAGCAGCTAACACCCTACAATATGTTCCCTTTCAACAGATTCACCGTTTGTTTGCCCGATATTATTTAAGTTATAAAGAATGACAAATTTATCTGATAGTTCATACTGTACCTTTGTAGTGAAACTGGCCATCCTGACCATTTGCTTGTACTTTGTAAATGGGCATAGCAGGATATACTCGTGCAATCAACATTTGTTCTACAATCGTCAGGTCAGTTAATTCGTTCGGGACACTTGACACATCCATATTATTTAACGCCGTGAATTTAGTTGCATTTGAACGTCAACGCGAACAAATCGGTGATTGGTTTGAAGCTGTTAGTTGTTGCCGATGACAGTTAGTGCAAGTGTAAAATTTTAGTGCATCTAATTCATGTTGGAATTGATTAGCTAACTGCCTATCATTATCAGCTTCTTCCGCCACTGCTTCATCTGGTTCTTCTTGTTCACAACGCCACTCTCTTACAATACTTTATACTGTATTTGCATTATTGGTGCGACGACCAATATTACGTTGGGCCTTTGAGACATGCTCAAAACAAATATAGCAAAACTGTTACTTCCAATGATAAACTGAAACTGTTACATTCCAACTTTAACCTAGGATGAAAGTAAACATTGAAATGTAAACAAAACAGTTACAAACAATTAACATATGTTTATCTTATTTAAATGAAACGAAATAAACCCATATGTCATAAACCCAATATAATTTTTCTTTCAACTTACATTAAAATAACAAGCGAAATTGCGTGACCCGTAAAATAAAATCCAGAAGGAAATTCGCAAATATTTTTTACCAAAACATTGTGCTCAGTATTCTTTAGCTGTTGGCCAAATTTCATATCAATTGGTCAAGCCAATACATTCTGATGCTCTTACAAAGAAGTTACAAAGTGAGGGAAAGTGAGCTTCGCTCAATAAATTGCTTCTTTCAATATTCAAGTAGTCTTCTCAGAAACAGTCAAAGTTAATAGACCAGGCCCAAAATTAAAAAATCCTTCTCTATAAAGTGCAAGAAGCATTTCATGTAACAATTGGGGAAACAACGTTTTTATGGTATTTCGACCCTGCTGAGTACGAATCTGCCTGTTGCCAACGCGAAATTTTAACCGGAAGTGCGGTATCCAAGATGGCGACCAAAACTCTGTTTGCCCCATATCTTCCTTGTTAGTTGGCCTAAAATAATGGTTTAAACGTGTATATAGGGGGTATTCAGATGCCAAGCACATTAAAACACTCAAAATTAACTTAAATTAAGTTTTGAGGGCATATCTTCCAAAATGGCGTCCAAGATGGCCGCCAAAAACTCAAATTTACGCATATCTCCCTTGTTTTTTCTCTTAAAATAATTATTTAGACGTCTGCATAGGGGTTTTCTCGGATGCCAAACACATTGCAACGCCCAAAATTTACTTACATTAAGTTATGGGGGCATATATTCCAAGATGGCACCCAAGATTTCCGCCAAAAACTGTTATTTCCGTATATATACATCCCTTGTTTGTTTGTTTAAATTAATTATTTAAACGTCTACAAAGGTATTTTCTCGCATGTTAAATCACATTGCAACACTCATTATTTACTTCCTTCGAGTTTAGATGACATATGTTTCTAAGATGGCAATAAAAACTGTATTGTGCTTACGTGATCTCCGTGCGTATTATTGTATTTAGTGTTTAAAACCAGTCAGATATCTATTAGTGGCTGAATATTTGCTACTATTTTTGAAATACTAATTGAAATTTAGCAATGTCAAAGTAGAAGGCAAATTGTTTAATGTACTCTGGTGGCACCGTAGATAACGCGTAGTATAACAGAACCTGTAATTAAGAAATTGTAGAATTAATTGTGTATGAAGTTGACGAATTTATCACTTATTTAAGGTGTCCAGTTATGTAAATAGATATTTATTGTAAAATATGACGATGCCATACGTATGTTTTGTATGTTTTACGGCAATAAATAATTTGATTTGATTTGATGTTATTTGAACGTTTAGTCCAACAGAACCTGTAAAAATTATTTTTTAGAACATACCTAAAATCCGCAAGAGGTGGTGCATGTAAATTAAACTAAACAAAGGTTCTTTATAACACATTAATAAATAATAGCCTAATAAACAATTTGGTGACAATATTAACAATGATACTGTACTGTTATATTGTATTGATCTTGTGGTACCACCCATCAATGGAGGTTTGTTTACCATGGGTCTCAATGGATGAAATAGATTTTTTAAAGTTTTTTTTTATGGCAGCATTGTGTTGGCTGCACTGATCAACATTAATCAGCAAACAATTCTTATTCTTTTTAATATCTTATGTAGGCCAACCGTCTATAAAAGTTAGTTTATGAAGAGAAAGTAAACAATTGTATGTGTACAAAATAATTGTTAATAAGGTAACATCTTTTGTTTCCCAACCGTCTATGAAAGTTTGTTTGTGAAGAGAAAGTAAACATCTGTATGCATTTCTACGAAATAATTATTTGAGGTAAGTACAATTTGTAATCCTTAGTTTATTTTAACTTATCAATAAGGAGTTTTTGAACCATTGGTTAAATAATCACGGTAAACGCTATTCGTTATGTTTTCTCGTTTATTAAATGTGA